AGTTTTTACATATAGGGGTTTTAATGTTGTATTCCCTATTCATATATTTGTGGTTAATTTCGTTTTAAACGGTGGCATCATGACAATTATGTAGTTAGTACAGCATTATTCAGAAAATTGGTTATGGTGGTTGGTAGGTTGTTGATGCGTACGTGGAGTTGTTGAAGACCGACCAGTTGAGGATGTATGGTGACAATGAGTTGGTGGACAAGTCATATTTTTTCAGTAGTGTGTGCCTGGTGAGTTTGTGGTTATTTATTTATTTTGTTTTTTGTTGTTGGTGTTGGGGTGGTGTAGTAATGTTGGATGACAATGATGTATTTGCAGGACGTGGTGAAAAGTAATGACGTGCGTTCAATAGGAAATTATATCCGGAAGAATGTGTCTGCAGGGAGCGAGTTTCATTTCATGCATTTTCCAATGTGTCATCTTGGGCACTGGACGCTTGTAGTGTATGACACTGAAGATGGTAGTTGGAAGCATTATAATCCGATGAGGCAACGTGGGGATAGGACTGATGTGCACCACACCGAAGCTGTTATGCTGGTAAGTAAGTGTTACCATTATGTTTGTTCTGTAAATTGGTTGTGGTTGTGTAGACGATGGTTGGTGATTTTTTTTTTTGGTGGTTTAATTTTTTAATTTTATTGAATTACAGAAAGAACGTGTGTCAGATGTTATGAAGCAATCGTTACGTCAGTTTGGACTGGATGAGCAGAGCATTGAGGCAAATTTCAGGCATCCATTAGAGGCTGTAACTAAGTGTCCACAGCAAAAACCAGACACGTAAGTAAAGTGTTGCTGTAAATGTAAGGGAACTGTAATGATGACAATGCTGTTATGAGTGGCACTGATTACATGTGCTTATTTCATGTGCAGGCTTGATTGTGGGGTGATAGTGTGTGGGATAATGCGACAGTATGTGTATCGTGGCGACGTGGAGCGAACATTGCAAGGTAGTAATTGCAGTGTGTTGCGAGCGAACATGGTTAATTATTTCATCAACGATCCGACCCGGGGGCTGAAGGATTAGATGTGTTTGGTCTGAAACGGTGACGAGAAATAAATCGGACGCAGCATTTCCTGGTTTTTGTATTTGGTTTATGCAACTTGTTTGGTTTTTTGAAACAACATGTTTGTTGGTTTGAACTTGGGGTTTGAAAATTCTGGTTTAGAAAATGTTGGACATATTTTTTGTGGGTATTACGTACTAGTCGTTGTAGATAACATTTTACGCATTTTGAATGGAAAGTATGGTATGATTTGCAGTATGATTTTCGTTGTTTGTTTGGCCTGTTGTTTCATGCGTTTGTAGGTAAGGATGTGTGATTGTATTTAAAAGTTGTGGGACTGAGTTGTGGGCAGAGATTGTGTGCCGTTGATGTGCACGTAGTAATAGAAGTTGGGTCTCGAAAATTGAAAGATATTGATGTATAGGCATGGTATATATGCGAAAATTACAGTCATGGAAAAGATGGAAAACGACACAACTATAGGCTCCATGATGGTTATGCGGACAAAATTGAAAATGGTCCAAACATGGTTGTTAGCAGGGAATTCTGTGGTGTATTTATTATCTGTGTGTAATGTTTGCGGATGTGGTCACATCATGATAAAATCTTGCAACTACACATTGAATTATGGCGTATGTCCTGAAATTAATAGCACTACAATACGAAGCAGATGTTAAAAATACAGTGACGAGGTAAACAGAGTAACGCATTAAAAATAAAATTGTTCATTAAATCTTCACTTTGAATGACGTCATATGGAATTGTGGAACATCCACTTATTTAATAAGAAAACTGTGAAAGTTTATTGTCAAAAATGCGAATCAGCGAATTATGTGTAGAAGCTAAATTGGTTCCTTGCACGTTTTCCTGTTGTGGTTACCCATGCGTTGACAACGTCCACACCGAATTTGTTGGACTTGTTCCCCTTTGGAAAGCATGCGTTTCTTCTTGGGCCTTCCCGGTGGGCGTTTGACAGCTGGGGGATGTATCACAAAATCTGCTGAGTCAAATTGTGGTTTCTCTACAGTTGGAATGAGGGTTATGTTTTGTGCATATGAATTCTGGTACTCAGCCACATGATAGTAGGGAATAACTAACTGGTACAGGTCTAGACCACTGTTTCGGATTGCCACGATTGCATGAGCACATGAAAAGTCGTTGATTTGCCACTTGAAACAAGAACATGTACGTTTGCCAACATCGACCATGACGGATGGAAAAGAGTGAACCGCGTACACGTCATCGTTTGATTGGCTTACGAGCCACGATCTACCTTTGTTGTATGCTTTGACCAACCGAGATTCCATTTTGGGACAAATAGCACCTGCCCACGCATTTGCCTTACGTCTCCGTTTTGCCATCTGGCGAATAATTTTTCCCCGGATACTATCAATCATTTGAGTTATTGGTAGGTGGCGTGCTTCCCGTATCCATGAGTTAAATGATTCAATGGCGTTGGAACTCATCTCATCGTACCGTGAACCTCTGCTTTTGAAGAAGGATGAAATGTGTTAGTCAAAAAAATAGGCAATGCGCATGCATGATACATGAAATATGAACTGTAGGAATGTCGTGTGTGTGCTGGAAAGGAAGGAAGTAATTACGTACTGGATGTAAGCATTCGCCCAGTAATATGGGGGTAAATCTTTTAAGAAAGCAGGCACAACCTTACGTCCACAGTTTGTGAACTCTTCCAGACTCTGGTTGAATGCAGCCACAGTCGGAGCATACGCACAGGCACGAAATTTAGCCAACATCACAGACCGGTATGAACTATTCACATAACGTAACTTGTCTTGCAAGTTACGCTGCAAATGTTGTAAGCAAAAGGCATGCTTCGCTGTGGGGAATATGATGGGTATCGATTCTAGTAAGCCCGCATGTCAGTCAGAGACAAATGTAAGTGTTCTTTGCCGATTTACCACGTTTGCGAGGTGTCCCAAAAGCCAAGCCCAATTTGTGGTGTTTTCAGAATCAACAATCGCAATGGCCACAGGGAATAAACCTGCATTTTTAATTTGTTTGTCAAATAACCAAGCTGTGCAGCATAAATTATGAACAATTGTTATGACGGTCTCCCCAATGTGGAACAAAAATTGTCCTTCCTAGCAACAATGTCAGTACATTTGCCACACATGAATATAATATATAAATAATTACCACACAGTAATACCTTGGTTGCCATCCTTCGCAGTTGCAGCTAGCAAGTTCCCCTTGAATTTTCCTTTTAGAAAAGTCCCATCCAAGAAAAGCAATGGGCGGCAATGGTTGAACCCGTCGATGCATGCTTTGAATGATATGAAATACCGTATAAAACGGTAATTTTGTTCATCATATTCAATGTTGATGTAACTCCCAGGATTATTTTCCATTACTACGCTACTATACCATCGTAGTTGGTCAAATGAAATGGAGTGTGCACCGAACATTTCACCACGAGCTTTTTCTACACCTAACCATGCAACTCGGTAACTAACCTCCAATCCGTAATCTTTTTTCAAGTCATACACAACATCAGTAGGCCTTGTGAGTGGTTTATCACGTACCCGTTCACAAATAACATCGGACACCAGATCGGAACCAGCCCTAGGGTTTTTGGGGGTCCGTACAGCAACACCACAAGTGTGCTCGCTGTTCCACTTACGAAGGTAGAAAAATCCATTGGCATTCAATACACGTGCATGTACCAACCACATGCATCCTCTCGATTCTCTCATCGTACATACAGCTGTGATTCGAACAGAATCGTTCTTCACAAATTTGAAGCGAAAGCCACACTCAACCGCATACTTGCGAAGAACATTTCGAAATTCAGATGCTCCACCTTGAAAACTTTGACCAACATGTTGAATCCCATTAGCACATGGAGCAGACAAAAAAACCTTATCAATGTGAGGGCAGAAATTTTCCAATAAATCTTGTTCGTCATCCATGTCCGAATCGTCACACACCCCCGCTGTGTGACACGGGACAGTCTGCAGATTATGAACCGGGCTGCCAGCATTGTCAGCGTCGCGTGACTCTTGTAATTGAATGATGACATCGATGCATTGCAGACGGAAAGAACGTGCAAGAAATACCATGTTTTCCACATTGACATCATTATGTAATATGAAATTGTTATAACCTGGTATCTTGAAGAACAAACACACTTGGGCCGGTGTTAACCCAGGAAACTTTTCGCACACACAATTAACCATGTCATCAAACCGAAATGGAGCTTGCAAATTAATTGCGGCATTAACATTTCCATAACAACAAATTAACATAACCTGTGTGTCCATCCCCCTAACAAGATTACCACGTGCTTCATTAGGACCAGAAAAACCCTAAACAATACACACCCACACCAAAAAATATGCACCCACAGCAGAAAAGCCACAAAACACTATAAAACCAAAAACAATACACACCCACACAATATAAAAATCGAACAACAACACATACGTCTGTAACACAGAAACCAACCCCCAAAAATGCAGCACACAACCCCCTCACCCACCGGATAAACAGAACCCCCCTTACACCAACATGTAATGCGGCACACACCCACAACGGAAGCAATTCAAAAAACAGAGCATACCAGCCTAACACAAAAAATCACAGAAAAATTACCAAAAATCACCCCAAAAAATGCACCACATAAACCCCCACCCTCACCTGTCGTCGTTCAGTCAAAAACACCAACACATACAAAACTGCAAATGCTATACAAATAAGAAGACATACCTTCTAACCAACGGAGAACCGACTTCCGTTAAACTTTCTCAATCAGTCCGTCACACAGCCACCGTAAATCACTGACCCACACCACTAACAACCCTAAAGTCGCATAGGCTGAAACGTCTCAACAGGTAACATTGAAATATCAACTGTTATACCCACAAAATCTGCAGAAGTTTTTAATTTTATAATAAATAGGTCATTTTATTAATAAATTATCAATTTAATTAACAATTTTTAATAATATTAAAATTTTATTTCAATTAATGATTCAGATAATTTTATTATTATATAGATAAACAATTAAAAATTTCACATTTTCGATTAATTTTGTTAAATAAAAAATTCTAATAAGAAAGTATTTATAATTTTCTAAATTACAAGAAACAATTTATATTTTAAACAAATTTTAAAAAGTATATTTATAATTTATCTATTATAAACAAGAAACGTGCCCTTTGTTAGTTATTTTCTTTTGACAGGGTTACCAATAGTGGATGACATCGTTAAAGTTATGTTTTGTTTTGTTTGTTACAATATAAAGAATATTTTTTTAATTATACCACTTTAATTGCACTCCAACTTTTATATTACTTTTTTTACCGTTAATTTTTTTTGTTCATTAATTTTGTTTTCAAGAAAATACTTAATGATAATGATTCCTTCAAGGTGGTTTTTATTTATTTATTATTATTAGTTAGACCCCAACACGCTTCGCGCGTCCACGCGCCATCAATGGCTACGAACAAAGTCGTGACGATTGTGCTATCATTGTCTAGGAATTATAGAACGAGACAAAGAAACGACAAATTGTCATTAAATTCTCTAAATTTTATTGTATGAATTGAAAAAAGGGACAAAAAAATATAAATCGAATAATCAAATAATAAAAAATGAGGTAATCATTAGAAGGCTTGATACAGAACACAAGGAACAGTATAATTGGCCAACCAGAGCCTGACCCTCTTGACTTATATTGATTTGATATAATTTGCTTTAGAGCTGAAAAATATGAATTTTTTTCTTGTACATAGTTGAAATAAATGAATACATAACAAATTGAAACATCATATTGAGCCACGACACTTCACAATAAAAAATGTAAAGTTAAAAATCTAATCATTCCCAAAATTAAAATTTGTTAGATACCACATGCTCTAAGAACAAACTTATCAAGGAGATATAAGCCCCCAGTAGGGTAGCCCTGAAACCAATTCCAAACACTTGAGTTGGCTAATTGGGTCAACTTCCTCCCTCTTGGAGAACTGTTAACTGTAGCAGCATAAAGAGATCAGAAAAAAGACATCTAATGTAGCTTCTGCATTCTTTCTCAATAAATGCAATAAAATTGCAATGACAATAATCTATGAGAGAGAGAGAGAGAGAGAGAGTAAAAAAATGTTGGCCCAAACTTACAAGTTTCAATTGCCAAGGATATGGACATGCACCAGGAGAATCATAATTGACAGCCAAGATATTGACACAGTCTTGTAATAAGACATTGAGAGAGGATATATACATGCACAAGAACAGTGAACTTATGTCACAGTTTCTATCTGTCAAGAAGTAGAATAATGCAGATAAAAATTAAATAATAAACAATAGAAACTAAAGCAGAACATACAATAAACAAAATTACATCAAAAGGAAGTATAACTATAGAAAAACAAAGACATGAAAATAGGAATGATAGTACATTCAGGTCATGTTTGATTCACAATACTAATAGTGAGGTATTAATAATTCTATCAAATTAGTGTGGTATTAACTATCCCACCCCTACCCCATTACTAATAATCCTACAAATTTATTGGATTAATTATCCATTGGATTAATAGTCCTAAACCAAAATGTCAAAACAAACCTAGGATGATTGGGCCCACGGGTTAATAATCCTAATCCCATGCTTTAATCCTTCCAATCAAACATGCTCTCACTGAATAATCGTTATAATACTTCAATGGTACATCTCATAATTTTCGTAAAATACAGAAACAAGATAAATTGTTGTAGAGAAACTGCTTATGCACTCATGCAACAGAACAAGTATCATGAAACTTTTGAATTAACTCAAAACTATTAAAAATAAGGATTTATTGATGTATAAAAAACAAATTGAAGAAAAGACCACGGACTCCACTCTAATGCATTACATATCAATAGTTCAAACTACCTCCTCTTGAATATTAATCAATCTTATGCGGGCTTCTTCTTCCCTATTTCTATAATAAATAAATAAAAAAAAATCATATTTTGACTTTATTGGAAAACCTTATTGGCTTAAACAAAAAATCTACTGATACAAATTTTTAGGTATTCCAAATCAGTCATGGCAAAGAAACAAACAATTGGTATTAAAGTAAACACACTCTACTACTTAAGCAATCAAAAGAAGGCCGTTTAAAAACCAATCGGTACAATTGTAACGCCCTCACTTGGTTTCTAATCCCAACCAACCTGAAACAAACCTGCCCAACACATCCTATAATTCCAAAAGAGAAAATAAAGGACAACAACACCAATTATACAATGACAGAATCTACGGAACCTAAGTCCAGATACAATAATCAAATGGGAAAAGACCGGGGTCGCTATAACAATTTCTTAAATAAACCCAACCAAATCAAACTAAACCTTGCGTTCCAATTTCTTGAATGCACAAAAAAAATTAGAAAGATAAGGGAAGAGAGTACTTTAGTGCCAATCAACACCATAAGTGCAAAAGGGCTGACTTGGGAAACCAACACCAAAAGTGATTCCCATGCTTGTTTAATTTCCACAAGAATTGAATTAGGAAATGCAATCAAACTGGAATTCCATATTTAGCCTAAAGCTAGTTGGGGTAGCTTTTGCCCAAATGCTCTTTTCCAAATGGGGCTTTCAATTGTTTCCCATTTCAATGTTTTTTTTCATTCCACCCTGAGCAAATTGATAATTTTCCAACCGCTCCTCTAACACAAAATAGACAACAAACAATACAAAAAGAAATTTCTCGGCCCCATAAAACAAGAACAAACATTGACAGAACATATATAATAACTTTAATAAATATTAGATATAGAGTTATGTCTAATATTTATATAATAACTTCAATGTTTACCTTGATCATTGACAGAACATATATAATAACTTCAATTGGTTGTAAAATTGCTTCAAGGAATCCAACAAACAAAAAACCACACACACACACACAAAAGAAAATAGAAAAAAGAAAAAGAAGCTTACCTTGATCATTTTTATCCATCTGTGCCTTTGTTTCAGTAATTATTATGAGAGCAATAAACACTTGAACACCAACAACCAAGAAAAAGCCCACATGGAAAGAAATAGTTCCTTATACAATCATCACAAGGCAAGGCCTAGAGTGGTAAATAAAAATTGGAGATGAGTACACACACTGAATGGAGAAAATATAGAGCAAACAAACCATAAAATTGTTGGAACAATCTTCTATGTAAATAAAATAATTTGAAATAATTCAAACAAAATAAAATAAAACTTATAGTATTTATTTTGTAGAACCAAATAAATAATTCAAAGACCAAGTCGAGTGTGTGACACTCTGTCCTTAAGACAGATTCGTCCCGCTACGGTGCTTACGGTTGAGTGGCGTCTGTCTTCCAGGATACAATGATCTTAACCAATTTGTAGTAGCACTCCAAAACAAATTGTTCGGCGAACCAAACCTGTGTTCTAACTCTCTGAATGTTTAATCTAAAATTAATATGAAGAATAATGCACAAAAAAAAAAAAAAATTGGACAGCAAAGATAGGATTTGCAGACTGATTTTCTGATTGGAAAAAATGCTAGACAGTACTGGTATATATAGAGTCGAAAAGGTGTAGAATTTTGAACTGAACAGATGAGTATTTGAAATGAACAGGTATACTTCAAAACTCAAACAGATCTAATCTGTTTGAACAGATTTAATTGCTGGACAGTTAAACCCGGAATTGCTGGACAGTTTCTGGAAGTTAAAAAATTGAAAAACAGTTTTAATCTGTTGAGGAATTTCGGACAGAAGTTGGACAAAAATTGGAATTCAAATTTGAATTAAATTCCCGCAATTTTTTTTGAAAAAATTCAAATGAATTTCGTCCAAAAATTAATACAAGAACTGACCCGACCTACAACCCATACCCGGGCTCTGTCCGGCCCTGCCGGAAGAACTGCGACGGCGCCCGCGCGCGCGTGTGGTGGTTTGGGCTAAGGTTCACTTTGTCCATAACTCCTCCCTTCTACAAATTTGGGGTGCCCCTTGGGGCCCAACCCAAGTATTGTAGGTTAAAGCTTATAAACTCAACAAAACTCTCTTAAAGTTTCAATTTGGGACAACCCTCACAAGGAAACCCACATTACAAACTTTAAATGTTCATTCCACGAACTTGAAAACGACGTCATGTTTCCATTCACTCATAAATGGTTTTGACGAGCCATCTTCACCGTGTGACTTGCCACGCGACAAGGAACACTTCACCTCCTCGGACCTGCACCAAAAGACGTTCAGGGCCCACTCAATTTTGGGCTCAAAGTCGGCCCAAAATATGCCTATATTAACCATTTTTCCAACAATCCCTCACATGAATGGAATTTGACGGAGAGAAAATGCAACAATATGATCTAATTATAGAGAGTATAGAAATTGAAAATATTCTGCAAAGGATATGTAGCTTTTGGCTTTGAACCTTTCCTTGTGAGACACTATCGGATTTACTAGCTAACCAGTGAACATGATGTCTTGAACTGTTCAGCCGTTTGTGTAAACCAAGACAATAGAACTCACACAGTATATCCCCAGACACAGTTTAGTTCTCACTATTGTGTTCTTTTTGGCCCTGAACAACCTGGTATTTCATGAGTGCTCTAAAAAATTGTAGCCCTTCACAATTCTCATAGAACCGGCCCAGTTCACACTCATATAGGTAATTCTTATGAAGAGTATCTTGCCATACTCCACTAGGTTTACCTAGATATAAGAATCATTAAAAGTTTTACTTAACCTAAAACGCTGCAGATATCACTATTTCATCATAGAAATGGGTAGGAGTTAGACTGCCCAGTGATCCATCTGAGTCATTCACAACTCAGTTGTCCCTTTGAACCTAGATCTTGGGATCTCTAGTCAACTAGGTTGGGTTGCCGTTGTGGTAACTCTTATTTAATAGGCTTTAGTCCCATTCCCCTCGATGAATTCTCAACTAACTCTCTTTGGTTAGTGGATCCGCTATGTTGTCTTTAGACTTCACATAATCAATAAAAATAATTCCATTAGAGAGTAGTTGTCTTACAGTATTATGTTGACGTCAAATATATAGAGACTTACCGTTATACATATGACTCTGTGCTCTACCTATTGCAGATTGACTATCGTAATGTATGCATATAGCAGGCACCAATTTTGGCCATATTGGAATACCTTCAAGGATGTGGCGAAGCCATTCTGCTTCTTCCCCTGCTTTGTCTAAAGCTATGAATTCTGATTCCATAGTGGACCTAGTAATACAAGTCTGTTTGGAAGATTTCCAAGATACAGCCGCACCACCAAGAGTAAAGACATACCCACTGGTGGACTTCGAGTCTCTAGTATCCGATATCCAATTTGCATCACAGTATCCTTCAAGTACTGCTGGATATCTAGTATAATTAAGCCCAATGTTACGAGTAAATCGGAGATATCTAAGAACCCTTATAATTGCTTTCCAGTGTTATACTCCTGGGTTACTCGTATATCTACTTAATTTACTTACTGCATAAGCTATATCTGGGCGAGTGCAGTTCATCAAGTACATTACGCTTTCAATAATTTGGGCATATTCTAATTGAGAAATATTTTCCTGTACATTCTTAGAAAGATATAAATTAACATTTACAGGTGTTCTAGCAAGATGATCATCATCTTTGCTGAATTTGTCAAGTATTTTCTCAATGTAATGAGATTGTGACAAAGCATATCCTTCTGATGTTTTGATAATTTAGCAATACCCATGTCCTTCATGTCCAAATGTTTATTCAACATTTTCTTGGTAGTTTTAATCATGTCATTATTACTACCTGTGATGAGCATATCATCTACATAAACACATACAATGACATAACATTTGTCTGTGTTTTTAATATAAACACATTTGTCACACTCATTAATTTTAAATCCATTTGACATCATTGCTTTGTTAAATTTCTCATGCAATTGTTTTGGCGCTTGTTTTAAACCATATAATGATTTAACCAATTTACACACTTTCTTTTCTTTTTCTAGAATAGAAAAACCTTCTGGTTGTTTTATGTAAATTTCTTCATTTAACTCACCATTTAAGAAATCGGTTTTTACATCCATTTGATGAATTTCTAGATTGTATAGAGATGCAATGGCAATTATCATTCTAATGGATGTTATTCTAGTAACCGGTGAGTATGTGTCAAAGTAATCAAGACCTTCTTTTTGTCTAAAACCTTTGACCACAAGTCTTGCCTTGTATTTTTCAATTGATTCATCCGCTTTCATTTTCCTTTTCAAAATCCACTTGTACCCAAAAGGTTTACAACCTGGTGGCAAGTCCACTAATTTCCAAGTGTGATTTTGCAAGATGGATTCAACTTCACTGTAGACAGCTTCTTTCCATAAAGGAGCTTCAGGACTAGACATAGCCTCTTTAAAAGTTAAAGGCTCATGTTCTAACAAAAATGTTAGGAAATTTGGACCAAAAGATTTTGAGGTTCTAGCACGTTTACTACGCCTAGGTTCCTCTTCCTCATTTTGGTCTAACTCTTGTTCTTGATCACGTTCTTGATCCTGACTAGTAATAGCATCATGAGATCTTTTATTGTTACTAGTCTCTTGTCCAATCTTATTTGGAAATACATGTTCAAAGAAAGATGCATTCCGAGATTCAATAATAGTATTTACATGCATTTCGGAATGTTCTGATTTATGAATCAAAAACCGATATGCACTACTATTCTTGGCATAACCAATGAAAATGCAATCAATGGTCTTAGGACCTATCTTAGTCTTTTTAGGACTAGGAATAGCCACTTTAGCCAAACACCCCCACACTTTTAAGTATTTGTAAGATGGTACTCTTCCATGCCACAATTCATAAGATGTTTGATTCACTTTCTTTCGGGGTACTTTATTTAAAATATAATTAGCGGAAAGTATTGCTTCCCCCCACAAGTTCTGAGGTAATCCAGAACTTATTAACATGGCATTCATCATTTCTTTTAAAGGCCTATTTTTCCTTTCAGCAATTCTATTTTGCTGCAGGTGGATTAAGGAGCGGTGGTTTTGATGAATTATTCATGTTGCTTTATCAACCTCACCACAAGTGATTCATATTCACACCTCTATCAGTTCTAAGTCTTTGATTTTCTTACTAAGCTGATTTTCACTTCATTCTTATATTGAATTGAAAAGTTTCAAAGCTTTCATTCTTTGCTCGAATTAAAATAAACATAACATATCTAGTATAGTCGTCTATAAAAAGTGAAAAAGTGATAAAATATTTTTTCCACCTTTAGTTTTAATTGATTTAAAATCACAAATGTCACTAATGAATAATTCAAGTGGTATCCGTACTTCTTTTCAATTGAATGAAAAGTGAGTTTTAGTAATTTTTGCCTCAACAAAAATTTGTACATTTATGATTTGAATCAATGTCAAATTTAGGTAAAACATCTCCATATTAATTATTCTCACACAAAGATCCATATTAACATGTCCTTAGTTCTACCATGCCATAAATTTGAAGCGACTTAAGCAAGTAAGAAGAAAGATGTGTTCTATTATTTAATAACTGAAGGGTACAACCGGTCATTACATTTAACTTGAAAAGGCCCATCAATATGTAACCATTTCCTACATACATCCCATTCTTATAAGTAAACATTAGCACTCTCAATACTAGCCAACCCATTCGTACCTCAACAAAGAACGAACAAGTCTTGCGATGTCCGACATGCAGCACATTGTTGAGAGTGGTTCCTTGTCAGATGTCTCATTGAGTACCTAATTTTCCTTTTCCTTCACTTTGGAAGTTGAGGAGGCTTGCCATAAAAAGTGTTCACCATTGTCCACTGTAGAATAAGATGTGAACATCTTTTTGTCGGCACAGATATGGTGAGTAGCACCAGTGTCCACCCACCATTCTTTAGGATTTCCGACAAGATTTGCCTCGGAAACAACTGCAGAAAGATTGATGTCAACTACACCATTGGAAATCTTATCTACTTCGATCATATGGGCTTGAGCAGGCTTCTTGCTTGTTCTTCTTTTGCTTTTGCCTTTGCTACAGCAATCTTTGGCCTGATGTCCCTCTTTGTCACAGATGTAACATTTGCCATTAAACTTGTACTTTTTATTTCCCCCCCTTTAGAGCCTTGTGATGAACTTTCTCCAGAAGACTTTCGTATCTTGGTTTTTGAAGCATATTCCACCACATTTGCTTGAGACTCCATAGGATGCTTACCAGCTCGCTTTCAGAATTGCGGTTGTCCTCCTCAATCCTTAAACGCACAATTAATTCTTCCATAGAAATTTCTTTGCGCTTGTGTTTAAGGTAGTTCTTGAATTCCTTCCAGTTTTTTGGTAATTTTTCAATTAAGGTTGCAACTTGGAATGATTCACTGAGAGACATGCCTTCTGCGTGAATGCCATACAGAATGAGTTGGAAATCTTGAACTTGGCTCATCACAGTTTTTGAATCAACCATTACAAAATTCAAGAATCTGCCAACCACAAATTTCTTTGAGCCGGCATCTTCTGTTTTGTATTTTTTCTCCAAAGAGTCCCAAAGTTCCTTTGCTGTCTTGATAGGACTGTAGACGTTATATAATGTGTTGTCAAGTCCGTTCAAGATGTAGTTCCGGCAAAGGAAATCGGCATGTTTCCAGGCATCAACCACTTGCCGGTCGGTTTTATCCTCTTTCAAGATAGGAGCATCTTCACGGAGGAAATGAGCCAGGTTTAGAGTTGTAAGATAGAACAACATTTTCTGTTGCCATCTTTTAAAGTCAGTTCCTGAGAACTTCTCTAGCTTTTCATCGTGATTTACCGGTACTGTTACAACAGGAGAGGGGGTTGGCGACATTGCAGCCACCACAGTAGTACTTGTTTGAGCATTAGTTTCAGTAGCCATCAATCTTAATTTATAAAACAAAATTATAATTAGAATTTACACTACACAGAAAATTAAACCAAATTCACAGAATTAAATTCTGTAAAAAAAATAAAAGAAACAAGAATGTAACTTTTATTTTCCAATTAATTTGGAAGTAAAATAAAATTTTATTCAACCAAATTAATTCCACACAGGAAATTAAATTCTGTAAACTAAAAGAAATAAGAAAATAACTTTTATTTGTCAATTAATTTGGAAATAAAATAAAATTTTATTTAACCAAATTAATTCTATACAGAAAATTAATTTCTGTAACACTTCAATAATTAAAATACTAAAACAATTTTAAGTAATGAAAACTCAGAAAATAATTTCTGAAACCCAAAATTAATTTCTGAAAAAATTCCACAAAAATATATTCTGAATTGTTAATGACACCAGTATCGTACTACTAGTTGTCAAAGAAAATAGACAGTATATTACTATTATCTGTCGAATAGCATATAATCACTATTTATTTTTCCAACCAGAATATTATTTTGTAAATCCACAGAAAATAATTTTTTTAAAAAAAGAAAGAGAAAAGGAAACAAACGAAAAATCCTGTAAACAGAATAATTCGATTCTGTCTTAAGATTGTTAGAACAATCTTCTGTGTAAATAAAACAATTTGAAACAATTCAAATAAAATAAAATAAAACTTACAGTATTTATTTTGTAGAACCAAATAAATAATTCAAAGACCAAGTCGAGTGTGTGACACTCTGTCCTTAAGACAGATTTGCCCTACTACGGTACTTACGGTTGAGTGGCATCTATATCTCAGGATACAACGATCTTAACCGACCCGACCCACAATCCACACCCGGGCTCGACCGGAAGGACAGCGGCTGCGTGCGCGCACGTGTGGTGGTTTGGGCTAAGGTTCACTTTGTCCATAACTCCTCCCTTCTACAAACTTGGGGGCCTAACCCAAGTATTGTAGGCTAAAGCTTACAAACTCAACAAAACTCTCTTAAAGTTTCAATGTGGGACAAGTCTCACAAGGAAACCACATTACAAACTTTAAATGTTCATTCCACAAACCCGAAAACGACGTCATGTTTCCATTCACTCATAAATGGTTTTGACGAACCGTCTTCACTGTGTGACTTACCACACGGTAAGGAACACTTCACCTCTTCGGACCCGCCCCAAAAGACGTTCGGGGCCCACTCAATTTTGAGCTCAAAGTCGGCCCAAAATATGCCTATATTAACCATTTTTCCAACAGAAATTCCTTGTACACACACCGAAAATGCTCAATAATGGAAGAAACTGAGCAATAACATTATGATGAGAGAAACGTTTTACTTACAATTCCCATAGCAGGTAGTCCCTTGTCAAAAAATCAAATGATTCCCAAGAATAAGAACAGTAAGCCAAATGCTGTCAATCCCAACCCAATCTTTGTTTCATCATAGAGTTTCCAGTTCTTTCATTAATCAGAATTTTGAAATGCAACAATTCGTAAAAATAGAGTTAATGTTATGAATGTAAAGAACCTAAATAAGTTAATTGCTTTGTATAACAAAATAAACATATAGAAGAGTACCTTATCCAATGTCAATAAATACCAAACAATCAATAATGGGATTCGAGCATTTCAATTGCCAAACCAGTTTAAGAACATAGAATTATAATTCATACCAAAAAACAAGAAAGAAATCATCAAAATAGGAAAACTTTGACTAAACCATATGAGGGTTCCAAGCAATTGAGGGATAGATAGATGGTGGGTAATTTGCCGCCCACGTGTCCAGCCCACATCTGCAAGGAAAAACTAAAAAAATAAATAAATAAGTAAATAACTCAAGAAAACTAAACTACTCAACAAACAGAGCACAAATCCAAATCCAATAAATAGCTCAAGGAATGATATAATTATTAACAAACTTATTTACATAAACAAATAGCACAAATTGATTCTCAATTCCCAATAATATTTGAGAGTACACATTTAAAAACACATAATCTTGTTGTTCCTCAATGATATACTAATATTATTGCTGTCAAGAGGATCAAATTCATCTTCTAGATCAAAAATAATTTTTGCTGTGAAGAGGATCTACCAATATTTTTGGTGGATTTAGTAATACCGTTTTTCAAGCTAAAGGAAGACCATTTTCTTAGATGAAACCTAATTTACTTCCAGAAGTTGCTTTTAGAATCCAAACAAATTTAATCCATTTACCCAAAATACCCACCCAGCAATTACACAAAACAGACAGAAGTTGGGTTGGACATACTAATATTATTCTAGGCAAGGGGAACAAACTAATAAAAAAGCAAGGTTGTCATCATCAATTAATAAAAGTAGGTTATTATTGGGTTGGGCATATTGTCAAACACATGGTGAGCACAAGATAAAATTATAGCAGAACAACAAAACAAGGACAACACATAGTTTGAGCCAAATATTAAATTGAATTGGGGCAACAGATGAAGGAAATCAAATACATACTGTCAAACAAAGCACCCTAAAAAACCTAAGATCTTTTACCAAGAACCCAATGTCATATGATCGAGCACATGGTGGACACACAATTAAACAGTTGTGAGGATCAAGAATAGAGCCCCAAATAGATAAATTAGGAATAATTTAATAATTGACAAAAGGAGAAAGACACACCTCAGTTTCTGCGGGTTGTTCCAGCTCATAGAACATACACCAATCTAGGATGTATGGCCATAAATATACTGAACGTTCTGTTTTGGTGATGAGTTTGAAAATCCACTTAACTCTTGAAGATCTTCCACCATTCCACCGATCGCACCACTTAACTCTTGAAGAGCTTATCAGTTGTGTCATCAGCTTATCCCTTCTTGAAGGTTCCTGCTGCTTGTGGTCTTCCTGAAACGGTGATAGTGGTGTATCCGTTTTGTGCACGATTCCAGAAAAGAGAGCTATTGGCCTCCGATTGGTTGTTTAATCAGTTGTAGATGTCGTGGCTATTGTCGTTGTTAAGGATCGAGAGAGGCATAGCCAAGCACCAACGTTACACCATTGCGTTACACCACTGTTATATCATTTTTATATAAGTTATATATTACTTTTTTTTTAATTTCAGTCCCTTATCCAATTTCATGGTGTGAAACTCTCATCTTTTATCAATTGATAACCGTCTCAAGGGGACGTGGATTCTCTCTAGTATTTTTTTCATGGGTAAATTACACTGATACCTCTGAGGTTTATGTTTATTACAATTTTTCCTCATATTTGGAACATTACACTGACCCCCTATCGTCAGTGTAATTATTTGACGGTGTTAACTTTTAAGTTAAAATGACATATTTACCCTTAACCTTTACATATACTTTCAAGAGTAAATTACATTGACACCCTTTGAGGTTTCAATTTAATACGGATTCCCCCCTGACATTTAAAAAAAAAAAACTAATTTATAAAAATAAATATGAAGAAATATATTTAATTTGTAAAAAATTATTTATAACCACTCGAAAGATAAAAATTATATAAAAATAATAATTATTTTTTATTTTTTATTTCTTAACCAAATTAATTTTTAATTTGTTAAAAAAAATTCTAAAAATCAAACCATATATAATTTAAGAATCTTTTGATAAGTCATTTCTTACGTTGGTAACTTATTTAATTATTTATTAATTTTACGATATTTTTACTATCTGAGGTCTATTTCAGTTTTCAATTTATATTTACAAAAATTTTAAAAATTGTTATAAAAACTTGTTTGATAATTTTTTTGATTTATAAATGGTTGTCGTAGTTTGTAAATTTGTGGAAAAAACGTAAATTCAAAAAATGAGTTTACGTTAGTTTTTAAACAGAAATTTAAAAATTTGACTAATAAATTTTTTTTTCAATTATTTTTTTTTCAAATAAATTTTTTTCCAATGAATTTTTTTTTCAATGAATTTTTTTTTCAACTAATACTAACTGAGGGGGCAATTGGTAATACTACTTTAAACCTTGGGGAAGAGATTGTAATTTCTAAAATGTGAGGGGTGTTAATGTAATTTACCCAGTGAGGGCAAAATTAGTATTTAGAAAAATTAAATTGCTGACATCAATAAAATCTGTTAGTTGACTTAACAGTCAACTAGCTGAGGGATCAATCTGTAATGAAATTTTAAACCTTAGGGAGGAGGATGTAATTTTTAAAAAGTGAGAAGAGAAACTGTAATAAATATAAACCTCAAAGGGTGTCAATGTAATTTACCCTTTTTTCATTTAGGCATCATCTATTACTTGATTAAAATGCCATAAAATATTGAATTATAATTTGTAAGTCAAGTGTCAGATGATAATTGGATGATGAAAGTGCTAGACTTTTTTTTTTTTTTGAACAGAGGACAATTTAGAAACACTACAGCAACAAAACAAACAGAAAAAAAGAACTAGCACAGCAAAATAAACTAAACAGAAGCAAGACAAGCCACAAACCCAGGAAGTGGGTTAGAGACCTAGTCTAGAGGGAGACTGTTCCGAAGATGATGATAAGCCACCCAATGGGCCACTTTGTTGGCTGTCCGTGGCCTCCACAAAAAGGAGAAATCACTTGATTGTGCCATGAGTTTTATATCAACAACCACGGCAGCACATTCCCACAGAGGGACAGATTCTGAGACACTGAGATGAATTACCGATTTGTTATCGCCTGCGATTTGGACTTTAGAGAGGTTTAGGGAGGAGGCAAGCTGACAAGCTAAACGACAGGCCAAAGCTTCACCTTGCAGCACAGAAACTATAGAAACTTGCCGTGTCAAACCATCAAGGATGTTCCACTGTGAATCCCGTAAAACAACTACAATGGAAGCTTTGTCAGATCCCTTTAGAGTAGCCACATCACAATTAATCTTAAAACTCCTACTGGTAGGGGGATGCCACTCAGAATTTAGGGAGATATGGGTCAAGGACTGGTGATGCATGGGGTTAGAATTCACCGTAACTTGCAAAAACTCGTCTCTAGCCCATTGAGCTCGCTGAATGGTGGACAAAGGGTTTACTGGAATGGAATTAAATACAAAGGCATTGCGCTCCTTCCAAACAAACTAGCTAAACCAAGCAACTGTGCTAAAAAATTGGATACAATCCACCTTGTGAAGAAAAGACTTTCGAACCACACAGACCCAGTGAAGGACTGAGGAGATAGAAGTCCAGTCCACTCTATAATTCAGGTCACACCCAAACCAAACAGCCCTGACCCATCCATAACCAAACAACAAATGCTCCATCGATTCCACTTCAATCATGCAAATAGGACACATATTTAATGGGCTGCATTTTCTTCTAAATAAATTTTCCTTAGTTGCCAAAGCATTCTTGCACACTTGCCACCAAAAATGGCAGATCTTAGGAGGAACCTTTAGAGACCATACAAATTGCCAAAAATCCCTTGGAATCTGAAAAGAGGTGGAGGGAAGTTGAGCTTTTGGGTTGTTCTCTAGCTTTCCCGCAATGTGATAACCTGATTTGACTGTGTAATCCCCCGATTTCTCATAATGCCAAATCTGCGTATCCTCTTGATGAGCCAAAGAAATAGGAATTGTACAGATTGCTTGGACTTCGTGTAATAACCCATATTCATGTCTTAGTCATGTTCATGCGCATTTTCATGATTTTGTCTTGTTAAGCTTGCATTTGTAGACTTAGACTTGTTTTGCCTAGGTAAAGGTTTTTGTCTTGTCTTGATGCTATCATGTTTTGCCTAAGTGTTGTATGCATGCTTTGTTCCTTCCTTGCTGTCTCAAGCCTAGGTCATGCCAAGCCTAGGTCATGTTAAGCCTAGGTCATGCCAAGCCTAGGTCATGCCAAGCCTAGGTCATGTTAAGCCTAGGTCATGCCAAGCCTAGGTCATGTTAAGCCTAGGTCATGCCAAGCCTGGGTCATGTCAAGCCTAGGTCATGCCAAGCCTAGGTCATGTCAACCCTAGGTCACACCTTTGAACCTCTTACCCCTAGGACCATCTTGGAACCACTTTGGTTGACCTCCACCATCACCTAGGCATATTGGCCGAGATGTCATCATCTAGGCCGAGGTGTGCATCACCTAGGCCGAGATGTGCATCATCTAGGCCGAGATGTTATCATCTAAGCGCCCTAGATCCTTGATCCTTGCACCTAGTGATCTTATTCCGGGACTGGAATGACCTAGACTGAGGTGTGGCACATCTAGGCCGAGGTGTGGCACAGCTTGGCCAAGTGTTATCCTTCCTAGCCGAGATCATTGATACCTTACTTGCTGAAGCCTATGTCCTTAGCCGAGATCATTACCTGCCGGAGTGCCCATGTCATCTAGCTTGTTGTACACACTTTGTCATACACTTGTCTTGTCTTTCAATCACCTTTTTGAGGAGAACCAATCCGGTAGTGCCACATGTCCTAACAGAGAGTTAAATCAGCCGATAGAGAGAGAAAACCTATCATTTCTATATCTTTGTTCTAGGTATAGAGAGAAGCTCTAGGAAGAGGAAGAGGAGTTCTTGAGAGAGGAGTAGATTTCCAAGCTTGATCCCTAGAGATCGAACCGTTAGATCTGTGTTTTAAGGTTAGATTCGTGATCTACTCTTATTATTCTTTATGTTGATCTAATCGCATTGCATGATCTACCATGTTTCATGAACCATGCATTGCTTTGAAGTTCGGTTTTAAAAAGAGAAGAGATATTCATGTCTTCTTGAAGAAAACCATGTTTTGATCCAAAAGTTTGTATCAAGATGCATGTTTTCGTGTTTGTTTTCATATGATCTTCAAGTATGGGTACCAAGGTCCATGTTTTCGAACTCATAGCATGAAATCCCAGATCTTGTAATAACAAGCTATGATTTTAACATTCATGTTCTTCATGTTCTTCATGTCCTTCAAGGAGGAAACCTAGATTTCCAGACCTCATTTCCCTAGGTGTGATCACCGAGACCACTCTTACCTAGATCCCATACATAGGCCAAGCATCGTATCTCACCTTGGCCTACCTTGCATGATCACTTGTACCTTAGTCTATCTTGCATGCACACCTAGGCTAACCACTGCATCTTCTAGGCTGAGATGTTCATCATCTAGGCCAACCATGGTACACCCTTGCCGGCACCTTGTAACACCGCGGCAGGCAGCTGCACACCGAAGCCTAGGTAACCACACCTCGGCCAAGAGGTGTGGGACCTCGGCCAAGACCTCCTGAGTTCATCCAGCTAGGTCATTTTAGCCTAGATCATCTCTGTGCATCTATTCCAGGACCTGGTTGGTACCCAACATGTTTTCCCTAGAAGAATCCAGCATGTTTTCCCTAGAAAAATCCAGCATGCTTTCCCTAGAAGAATCCAGCATGTTTTTCCTAGATGAAAAACAGCGTTTTAACTTCCAGCATGTTTTCCCTAGATCATTTGCATTCATGTAAAGCTTCTTTTTAAGAGTACATTCAATAGACTTTGCCATGTGTTTATAGGACTTGGACCTTTGCCTTGATCCCGACGTCCCAAGAACTATCTGAGTGGTATTTTTAATAAAGTTATGTTATATGTTTTGATAAAGGCTTTGCTTTGCTTTGTTTTGAAAGTATTTGTTAAGCATGAATGATTACCCCTATTTTGTGTATCAAGTATAAGTTCGTGTATCAAGTAATTAGCTTTGTTTTGGATGACATTCTTAGAAAGTCCTTCCATGATAGGGGACTCTAAGCCCATGTAGCATTATGTTCGGGAGGTCTCTGCTATCGACGGTCTATGAACAGATAGCCCCCACTGATGGTCTATGAACGGGTGGATTTGTCTAATCTGCTATCGACGGTCTATGAATGGATAGCCCCCACCGACGGTCTATGAACGGGTGGATTTGTCTAATCTGCTATCGACGGTCTATGAACGGATAGCCCCCACCGACGGTCTATGAACGGGTGGATTTGTTTTGTTCGGAATGTTATCACCCCAAGTACATGTTGATGTTTTAACATCCAAGAAGCTTTGAAAGATTTGATTGATGAACTTGATTCATCCCATGCTTTGTTTTGTACAAGTTATGATATATGTATTGTTTTGACAAGAACCTCGGGGAGTCATTCATTTAACCCCTTTATTACTTATACCATTCACTGAGTATCCAAGCTCACCCTCTCCTTATATATATGTAGGTAACAAGCATGAAGGCGGTGACGCCGAGATGTGTTATTTGCAAGATGATGTTTGATCCATGTTATGTCAGCATCTTGAAGATTATGCTTCTTGACTTTATATTTCATGTATTTTGAATATGTCGGCTCGAGAAGCCTTTTATCAAGATGTAATATGTATTTTATTTTGCTTATATTCAAGTTGTAAAGCTATGTAAAGATGTATGCCATTTCATTTGACTTATGCACAGCTCTTATGGACTAATTAGATTTGTATATATTACTTCCGCGCATGTTAGCCCCATATGTAATACTCTGATTGTGTGTGAATTTTGAAAGTTGGCCTTCGGTAATCTCGGATTACTGGCCATCACGACACCATTCTACTAGGGGCGGAATGGGGTCGTGACACTTCGGTCTCCGAGACCAGACCCTAAAGATCTTCGACTTTCCAAATGCCGTGAGTAGCATCAATTATGTCCACCACTGCGCTAACCCGGCTGATGGGTGGTTTTGGGGAGGAAACTTTAAAACCCGGTAGAGAAGGGATCCATTTATCATCCCAAAAATTGATGGATGCACCATTATACACTTGCCAACGGACACCATTGCACAGGATTTTTCTACTTTGGATCAAACTTGCCCAGGCCCATGAGACGCACCGACCTCGAGAAGCTTCCATGAAATTAGAATGAGAAAAATAGATCCCCTTGAGCATTTTAGCACAAAAAGAATTGGGATACTTTACCAGGCGCCATCCTTGCTTTGCTACCAAGGCTAAATTGAAATCATGAAAGTCTCTAAAGCCCAATCCCCCTTCAGATTTTGGCATAGCCAACTGTGCCCAATTTACCCAATGAATGCCCTTACTCTCCGGGTCACCATTCCACCAGAATTTGCTTATGAGAGAATTGAGTTTGGCACAAAAATTCTTGGGGAAGATAAAACATGCCATGGCGTAAGATGGGATAGCTTGCACCACAACTTTAATTAAAGTTTCCTGCCCTATATGAGATAGCAGTTTAAGTTTCCAGCCCTGCAATTTAGCTTGAACTCGCTCAATAATAAAATCATAAGCCTCCGCCTTTGACCTCCTCCAAAAAGTTGGAAGGCCTAGATACTTTGCATTAACTGGAGTTTCCCGAAACCCAGAGAGCTGTCTAATACTACCACGAAGGGGAAAAGAGACATTGAGTGAGAATTGGACACTAGACTTGTCAAAGTTGACCAGTTGTCCGGTTGCAATACAATAGGAACTCAAGATATCCAAGATCTTCAAACATTCAGACTGATCTTCTTTAAGGAACAATAAAACGTCATCCGCAAAGAGCAAGTGAGAGAGAGTGGGACTATGTCTATTGATCTTGAAACCCGAAAGTTGTCCCCTGTGAAGATTGTGAGTGATCAATTTGGATAAGACATCCGCAACTAGGATAAAGAGATACAAAGAGAGAGGGTCTCCTTGCCGTAACCCATGAGACAGAGTAAAAGCAGCCTGCTTTTCACGATTGACAAAGACAGAAAAGATGACCGTAGTGATACATTCAGAAACCCACTGGATCCATTTTGGAGCGAAACCCATTCGGCGCATAAGCTCCAATAAAAAATCCCATTCAACTCGATCGTAAGCTTTGTTGAAATCTAATTTAATGGCCATAAACCCCGCACGCCCCGTCTTCTTATGTTTTAAAAAGTGGAAAGCCTCATGTGCTACAATGGAGTTGTCTTGAATCATTTGTCCCAACACAAAAGCCGATTGATTGGGAGAGATTAGGGATTTCAGAATCAATTTCAGCTGGTTTGTAAGAATCTTGGTGATGATCTTCAAAGTGAAATTACACAAGCTAATAGGCCTGAACTGGGATAACTTCACAGGGTGACTCACTGTGATGCCCCTGTTCTGTATTATGCTAAATTGGTCCTTAATTTGTTTATGGTTATGTGTTTAGCGGGATTTTGTGTGCCATTATGTGATAATATGTGATTTTGAATTCGTATCTGTTCACCGTAGGATTATCTGTTTGAATAATCCGCTTCGGGAATTAAATTGAGGGCCTTATCGGCCATAGAACCCGAAATTGTTTACGCCACTGTGATTGGCATAATTTTTAGAGCCTACGGTGAAATTTAATTGAAAATTGATCCTGGTCAATTTAAACGGATTAAATTGATAAATTAAGTGCCAATTGTTATATAATAAAATAATGTGTTGAGTGGGGCTAAATAAGGGCCTCATTGTGATCAATTCCTCACCCTTATGTCATTTTGGCTGAAGTTTAACTCTCTAGAAAAGAGAGAGAGACGACTTTGAGAGAGAGGGGAGGCACCTTTGGGCATTTTGATTCAAAATTGTGAATTGGGAAGGCTAGGTGCAAGACTTGGCCATAATTGTGAAGATTGAGCCTCTAGGTAAGCATTGATTCTTGAATTCATGAGTTTAATGTGTAATCTTGTGTGTTCAAGGGTTGTTTGTGATCAAGAGCATGTAATGAGTTGATTTTGTTGAGTTTGAAGTCTTAGAACTCATGCATGTAAGGAATTACTTTGAAATTGCATGTTTGAGCTTGAAACACATGATTCATGTAGAGTTTTGGTTAAAGCTCATGTGGTAATCACCATTTGTACCATTTAAGTTGAGAATGATGAGCACCTCCCACATGCATGCACAAATCATGGGAGTATAAGTCTTGAATGTTTGAATTTGAGCATGTTGGTGATGGGTTTGAGATATTTTGAGACATGCATGTAGATAAATTATGAAATTGAGCTTTAATATGTTGTAATTCTATGTTTGTACCATGTTAGTACATGATTATGTGAAGTTTGGACCGAAATCATGCCTTTAGAGCTTTTGAATGTCGAGATGAAGCTCAAGAACTCAATCTGAAAAACCCAGATTTTCGATGTCCGCTCGAGCGGGTGAAGTGCCGCTCGAGCGGAGAAAACGAGCTCCCAGCATTTTCTGCAGACATGGTTCCCGCTCGAGCGGGGAAGTTGACGCTCGAGCGGGGACCCTGTTTTCTGGAATTTTGTCCATGCGTTCTGTGTTTCGCTTTCCGTTCTCTTTCACTTGTAAGCACTCTTAGGCGTATGTTAAGCATTGTAAATGAGTTAAAGAGATAATAATAAAGCCTAAAGAGGAATATGTGAATTAAAGAACGGATTGAACTATTAATGACCCTTTTGTGTTCATGAAATGTGTAAGGTCAAGCTCCAGGGCAAATCCACAAGCCGATCACTGTGAGTAATATCAATATTTGAAAGCTTGTCAATGTCCAATTGTTATTCCCTTATAAACTTTATGAGTTGTTAATTGGGATTGTGGACAAAAGTCTGACAGGAATAAACATAAATGGACCAAAGGTCGTTCTGATAAACATAAATGGAGCAAAGGTCGTTCTGATAAGCATAAATGGACCAAAGGTCATTCTGATAAACATAAATGGACCAAAGGTCGTTCTGATAAACATAAATGGAGCAAAGGTCGTTCTGATAAGCATAAATGGACCAAAGGTCATTCTGATAAACATAAATGGACCAAAGGTCGTTCTGATAAACATAAATGGAGCAAAGGTCGTTCTGATAAGCATAAATGGACCAAAGGTCATTCTGATAAACATAAATGGACCAAAGGTCGTTCTGATAAACATAAATGGAGCAAAGGTCGTTCTGATAAGCATAAATGGACCAAAGGTCATTCTGATAAACATAAATGGACCAAAGGTCGTTCTGATAAACATAAATGGAGCAAAGGTCGTTCTGATAAGCATAAATGGACCAAAGGTCATTCTGATAAACATAAATGGACCAAAGGTCGTTCTGATAAACATAAATGGAGCAAAGGTCGTTCTGATAAGCATAAATGGACCAAAGGTCATTCTGATAAACATAAATGGACCAAAGGTCGTTCTGATAAACATAAATGGAGCAAAGGTCTTTAAATGGGCCAAGGGCCAGAAATGTTGGAACTACAGTTACTTGATTTGCATTTCGTGTAATCAAATATATTTGCTAATTAGAAGCATGAATTGGGCCCAAGGCCGTTTGGAACATGTTGTTCTACATTGTTATTTAACTTCTGTATTTGATTTGATATTATTCACTGCGCTATCGCTCATGCTCATTCATGTGTTTGTAGGTGAGCCAAGAGAAGTCCAGACCCAGTCTCAGTGAAGTCTGTATGGAACAACTAAGGTTTTGAGAGAGTCAGCCCTTGTGTCTCACGCACGAGACCCGTCTTCGCCCTTTTGTTATGTATTTACATTTTGTCAGGTTGGCGAAGTTTTGTATATGTCTGCTTATAGTTTTTATGGGTTGACTTAGTTTTGGATGATCCTGTCTGTACAGAACCTATGTCGCTATGTTTCTGTTGTGAGTTATTAACGTGCATATGTATGGTTTGTTTTGATGTGCCATGTAAGCACAGCTCTATGGACAAAGTTTTTAATTTTTGCTTCCGTTTGGCCCCTTTACTCTGACAAGTTATGTCTGAAGAATATGAGGCCGTAGGTAATCTCAAGATTGCTGGCCGGTTATGTCCCTAACCCATGGGAGCGGGTTCGGGTCGTGACAGAGTGGTATCAGAGCACGAGTTAATAACTCACACACTTGTCCAAAAGAGCAATAAGCGTCTAGATAAGATCTAGGATGCATTCATGTGATAAGTACTGGTTTGGAAGCATTGATTATATGCTTAAATGTTATGTTACGAATAATTATATGTGTAAGTTGTGAATCTTTTGTATAAGGTATAATGCAAATTTAATCAGATGGTGAGTAATAACTCTGTAAGGTTATGTTTAGCTTTAAACATTTTCTGATGATATGAATGAATGATTGCCCAAAATCCTCTTTGAACGTAATTGTGGTATCCTTAGCGGAGGCCCTCGCCCAGGGGATATAATACTGTGGCTTATGGTCATGAAACCCTAGCCCGGGGGGGAGATAATACTGTGGCACAGGCCCTCGCCCGGGGGAAATAATACCGTGGCCTACGTATGAGATATGTTGATATGCTTGACCAACATGATATGTCACGCTAAAAGAAGTACCACACATGATTCGAATATGAGATATAAATTGTTACACTAATGTGTACAACAAGTTTGTTTTGTTATAATGCACATACATGAAAAGTTGTTTATGTGCATTCAATTTTGCCTACAGGCGTCTATTTGAAATATGAACATGATTTGAGTATAGAATTACTTAGTAAATGTTCAGCATGCGATATTTGATAAATATGCAATTATCTGTTACGTAAGTGATTAGTTGCGTATGATATGTGAAAGGAGAATATAACAATGTGCCTATGTGCGGATGTACTCATGTGATTTTGTGTTTAATTTCGTATTGGGCATCCCAGTATTTGGTAAAGTTTGATAAGAATTTGTGTAGAGTATGGGCAAATTAAGGGCATACGGGTTGGAAGGTTCTTCCACAGCCCGACTTGATAGTCCGGAAAGAGTAGTACAAGAATTGGCAGAGATCTTGAGACAGCGGTGTCAGTTGCCGCTACGGCAAGAACCTTTGCCACCACCAGTGTGAGAAACACCGAGGAGTTGTTATCAGACTTCTGGGGCTCGTTATAGATATGGCAAAATGGACCATACGGCAAGGAACTGTCCCCGAATTGAACGAAATGTGAATGAATCCTCTGCCTTGGCTAAATCCGTACCAGTGGTAGGAATTGCTACTCAGGATAGAGTAATCACACTCATCCCAGAAAGCACTCAGAATGTTGTAACCATTATCCCAGGTATCTATACTGTTTATAAACAAATGCCTATGTGTTGATTGATTCTGAATTAGTACGTTTGTACATCTTTGCTTGGGATATCATTTGATTCGGTTCGGCATATTTTTCCATATCTGCTGCGTGTGTATCTAGATTGGTTAGACCCACATGATCGAGACTGCATTCATTGGAGGTATATGCCTCGTTTGGGAAATTTTTGAAATACGTTTTGGGATATTAGTTGACTCTGCACATGCACATGTATATCAAAACCTATGCTCAGGTTGATTTGCTATGTTACTGTCTTCAATGACTAAACCACTGGAATTGTGACTTTGTGATTGTATAATTGAGTTGAGCACCCCAAATGATAAACTCTGCAAGTTACGAGACCATGCATTTTGATTGGTAGAAAATTGATTGGATTATGTGATTATACTGGGCTCGACTCATAAACCTACATTTTGTGACTAATTTGGAACCTTTGCGTAACCGACCCTATCTTATGTACAATCGAGGAACTCTGTTTAATGTGTTACCGTGCACCATGTGCTTGTATATAAGACTTGTTTGGGAATTGCTGTATTAATTATGGTACATACCTCCCGATTTGAATAACTGCACGTTTATGCAACTACCCCCGAATTTATGTAGTCAATGCCATATTGCACATGACTTGAAATGCTTTGATATGAACAGTTGTGATGAATAATTCTGATATGACTTTGAGAACTGATAAACTTAGGGCAGTTGAGAAACTATCAACCATGTACCTAAGCAAACGAAGTATGCCTTACAGAACCGAATGTGCCCTATTTGAGAAAAATTTTATCTGACTCGATCCGATGGAACCTTTGCCTGATATTGTTCCGATGGAACCCTCATTTGATATAACTTGATGGAACCTTTGTTCAATCTAA